ACCACCCCCCTCCAATAGTTGATGGATACCAGGAAGCCAGGATGCCAGCCAAGGTGCCAAGCCAAAGATGGCAGGACCTTTCACCATTGGTTTTGGAGTTCCTGGAGCTGAGGCAGGCTCAGTTATTTCCCATTGTTCACTCACTGGAAGATCACTCAGGACTTGGAAGCAAGTCTTGCCCCGCCTATTGTAAACATGATCTTGGCTTTATCAGTCACTGTAAACAAGCAGGGATCAACTTTGCCCCTTTGGGAACAAGCCAGCCTCTGAAGTGTCTCTTGGAGCTCTCCTGCCAGGGAAGAGCAGCTCAGGAGGAGAGAATGGGAGTGGGTTGGAGTTGAACGTAGAGTAAAGTAGGAGGATAGGGTGGAATAGGCTAGGATATAGAAATAGAATAGAAGAATAGAAAATATGGAATGGAATAGAGTGGAATGGAATAGAATAGAATAGGGAATGGAATGGAATAGAAAATATGGAATGGAGTGGAATAGAATAATAGAATAGAATAGAATAGAAAATATGGAATGAAATAGAGTGGAATGGAATACAATAGAATAGAGAATGGAATGGAATAGAAAATATGGAATGGAGTGGAGTGGAATAGAATAATAGAATGGAATAGAATAGAATAGAAAATATGGAATGGAATAGAGTGGAATGGAATAGAATAGAATAGGGAATGGAATGGAATAGAAAATATGGAATGGAGTGGAATAGAATAATAGAATAGAATAGAATAGAAAATATGGAATGAAATAGAGTGGAATGGAATACAATAGAATAGAGAATGGAATGGAATAGAAAATATGGAATGGAGTGGAGTGGAATAGAATAATAGAATGGAATAGAATAGAATAGAAAATATGGAATGGAATAGAGTGGAATGGAATACAATAGAATAGAGAATGGAATGGAATAGAAAATATGGAATGGAGTGGAGTGGAATAGAATAATAGAATATAATAGAATATAATAGAAAATATGGAATGGAATAGAGTGGAATGGAATGGAATAGAATAGAGAATAGACTGGAATAGAAAATATGAAACGGAGTGGAATAGAATAGAAAATATGGAATGGAATGAAGTGGAATAGAATAGAATGGAATAAGAGTGGAAAGGAGTGGAGTGGGGTAGGGTAGGGTAGAAGGATAGGATATGATAGGATATAGGAAGAGAAGAGAATATAGAATGGAATAGAATAGAATAAGAGTAGAGTAGAGTAGAAGGATAGGATAGGATAGAATAGGATATAGGAATAGAATAGAATAGAACAGAATTATAGAGCAGAACAGAACAGAAAAAAGAAAAATCTAGAATATTATTACAGAATGGAAGAGAATTATAGAATGGAATGGGAGAGAATCCTTTATTGGCAAGTGTCATTAGACACACAATGAAATTGTTTCCGGTGGAGACGTTCAGAGTGTACATACAACCACAAAGTGATAAAATCAAGACCATAATCGTAAAATACAATTACCATGAATCATAAGATACAACACTTGTGATAGTCGCAGGATACTAAGCAAGCAATAACATAAATCATACTAGGATACTTAAATAGCCAATACAAATCACAAGATACAAAGCTAGAGTTGAAAGAAAGTAAGGAAATAGGTAAGAGTTAAGAGGAGAAGGATAATACCTATAGTAGTAGTAGTACAGCCCTAAGTAGTTTGGGAGTGTTGTGGGAATTAGTTGTGCAGCAGTGTGATGGCATGGGGGGAAAACTGTGTCTAGTTGTTTTGGGGTGCAATGCCCTATAGTGTTGTCTTCAGGGGAGGAGTTGAAACAGTTTACGTCCAGGATGAGAAGGGTCTGCAGATACTTTCTCACCCCCCTTTCTGACCTGTGAGATGGGCAGGTCCTCCGTGGAAGGCAGGCTGGTTGCAACTGTTCTTTTCTGCAGCCCTAACTATCCGTTGAAGTCTGTCCTTCTCCTGTTTGATTGCTGTGCCAAACTAGATGTTTACGGAGGGTCAAATGACATTCTCAATAGTTCCTCTTCAGAACTGGATCAGCAGCTCCTTGGGCATTCTGAGTTTTCTGAGTTGGCACAAAATTGCCTTCTTAGCAGGCGGCTCCCGTGGCAGGCAAACCGAGGGCCTTTTCTGGCTCATAAAACAGACCAATTTGCCAGATTACGCCCCTCCTTGTCACAAAGATGGGGAAAGATGGCCACGGCAGGTCTCTGGTATCTCTTTGACGGCCTGATCTGACCTAGGCTTCCCCAGCAGCCCGAAGCCGAGTCCTCGTCCCGATAAACCCCTTTTATTTAATTTACAGTGACTTCCTCTCCAGCAAAGTCTTTCCTCGCCCACAGTCTTTCAAGAGAGTTCACAATTACCGACGTTGATCAGGCTTGGAGAGTGGCCGGGCTGATATCTTTCAGGCGCCGCTGTCAGCATTCCAAGTATCATGTAGAATTAAATCAGAGTCCAAGGCAAAACGATCCTTAAAGTTCCAATTTAATAAAGCAGACATCTTAGGCACATCTGTGTTAATCCCAATTCTGCAAATGATGTCAGAATCCCACCCAGTTAAAAGTTCACGATCTTGTCCCCACACTCACAAAT